ACATACATACATACAAGTGAAGTTAAATAAAAGCTTGTAAAAATCGACCGTGTAAAGGCAGCTTAAATAACGTTCAAATTAATCACCCCCTTTGAGATGGAAAATACCAATAACCATTTCATAATTTCGAAAATTATTCCATTTATATTTGTTCTTGCATTTTCCACACCACTTGTGAGGTATGCTTTTACGCGCGTTACCGATTTTTTTTAATGTGCTCGGTTGCCCAGGAGGCCTATTTTCACCTTTACAACTTAACTTAAACAGAATTAAAACTAAAGCATGCAATATATAAAGAAAATTAAAAGTTGTCTTACATCTAGTAAACTTAAAAAATTGCACATTAAATTCATTTTTCATTATAAAATAAAATTAAATATCACAATTCAGTTTACAAAATGTGGTCTGTTTGCACCCACAGTAAGTTCCCATGAAGCCTAGCCTAAATTCAGAATTGAAAAAAAAACGAGCAAATGGGGTCGGAAACTACTAGCCCTAAAAGCACAATGTGGAAAATGTTTGAAGAGCTGCGAAATTGTATTGCAATAATAAAAATAACAGTGCATAAATTGGAAAAAATGGTTTTTGTTTTGCTTTATAATTTTTGGGAATATTGGTTCAGATGGAATTTTTTTATTTGTTTGGTTTTTCAGCTCGTTAATGATGCACCCAGGGTTGCATTTACTGTCTATGAAAATATTTCTTGAAGCGTTCCAAAATTAGCTCCGAGCAACTAAAAGTTGGTTAAGCTTAAATGAAATAGTTTTTTATTAAATATTTATCCTGGTATTTAGTAAAAAACATCAATACTAATGTATGAAAAACAAAACATCAATGCTAATGTATGAAATGAAGTAAATAAAAATCTACGAATACATTCCATGAATATTTTGTCATAGAGCCATTATTAAATTTAGACATAACTTTGTCAGGCGTTGGTACCTACGTATATAGAATTAATGCGTTGGAGAGAGATAAATATACAAGTTCAACGCGCTAATTTAGGTATCCTTGTATGTATATACCTGTTACTCGTCTGGCATATACTCCAACTGCGAAAATAATGGCAATTATAATTTATGTAGATCCCTGGATAAAAGATTGTCACAAGTTACTTTCGGTAACTCACGATTGAAGTTTGGAATGCAATTTCTCAGAAACACGACTACAGATTTTCTCCAAAGTGTCGGAGAATGCTATGTACTAGTTCATGAAATTCTTAAATTATCTTATTTTTTTTAGTTTAGTGTCAACCATTTATGAGTTTAATAAAATTTTGTCGTATACGACATTTGTCAAAAAATTTGCAGTCAGTTTTAGTGATATACGCCAAAATGTGATAACAATTTTTATAAATTAACCATACTTTTTACTAATCAGCCTACTCGTGAGTTTCGCCCGAACAAAATTTCGCCAACAATTTTTTCATCCACCTGTAGTGAACACACGCAAACGAAAAGTGACCCGGTTCTAGAAAATGAAACTCATGATAAAGCTGAATATGTCGGAAACTAAAGAAGAACAGATAACTCTATTTAAAAGATCTTGATTAGTTTAGTACGACAGCAATACGAACGCAATTTGTACCAAATAACCGAAAAAATTTTAGTCAATTAGTCGGAAACTAAAGAAGATATCCAAAAATCACAAATTGTCAAAATGACGCTTCCGGCAATTTTCCATCGAGGGGACGATATTTGAATAGCTTTGTATAGTTACCAATAGTCAGTACTAATTTGTACTGGAACCTGCAAACTTTTACTGGAAAAGTGTATGATAACCCAAAATTTTGCAAGAGAGCACTGAATCGAGAGCGTAACAACACGAGAGAGCTGCAAATTCTTGCTAGTGAAATTTTTACTAGCAGAAATTAGCTAGCAGAAGAAGAAGAAGAATAAATGTCAAAAGAATATATCGCTAGCTTAGAGTGAAAAGTTGCTAAGTCCACTTTTTATGAAAACGCATATTTTGATATAGGAGGCTTAAGAAATTGAGTACGCATCGTTTCGAAAATTATAAAGGTACTTGTTTTATTTTTTCCTCTTCATAAGCAATAAAAGGAAAATTTGCTAAGTCCAAAAGAAGCACCACAAATCCGATAAGGCCAAAATAATACGACATCTTTTAATAAATATCGAATCCTTCTGATTCTTATGGAGTTTTGCTTTGCTTTAAACGCGCAAAATGTTTGATTCAAAGTCTTGAGAAATAGTTAAAAAAAATGGCTAAAGGAAGATTTTTTCCTCTCCTGTAAAATTTTTAAAATGGGACTTAGCAACTTTTCTTTCTAAGCTAGCGATATAAAAAGTGGTGTTACTAGCTCAGTTGATTTTGTGTATGTGTTTCTCCGCACGGCTTCTGATATCAAATTGAAAAATTTTGTTTGAATTTCTACTCGCACTTACAGGTTTTGACAGTTTATGCCGCCAAAGCAAAAACAAAATACATGTAAATTTTTGTTTTTGTACTCCTGCAATCACCTTATATTGATTCGCCTTGGCACAAACAAAAGTAAAATGAGTGGAAACAAAAATATTAATGATGTACTGGACAGTGTTAGTGCTTGTGTGTAAAGCAAAGAGTTTAAAACTGATTTATAAATAGTAAAATGTTTACAGCAGATTGTCAAAGCAGTGCAACAACTGTTCACTTGCAAGTTATTGCTAGTTTTGTGTTCAATAAGTTCTTCTGCTAGTTTTCTCTTCTTCTCAATTTAACGCTCTATTTTGCTTTTACGCTCTCGCTGCAATGTTACTGTTACTATACAAACCTAATGTTACTCGCATATTTTCGAGCCTGTATGTACATTTTCGGGAAAAAGGTTAAAAAGTGTATATATCTGCTGAAAAGATATTTTCGCAGATTCACAATTTATTTAAAATAAATCTATTAGCCCAATCTCCAATTCCATGTGAATAAATCTCCCCAGTGCTTAAATAATTTTCACCACATTAAATAGCTGCACAACACCCTAATTGCCGAAAAAGCGTTGCTTGCAACACTAGTCCTTTATGGGGACCAAACTTGGCGAAAAAAAAATAGCTAAGTTTGTTTACTGGATATACTGAGATCCAAACCCACAATCGGTGCCTGGGCCGCTACTTCATACTAATAACTTCATTTTCAAACTGCATATCCACTTTGTTTTGTTGTCAAATTTCTGAGAAATGTGAATTCA